CAAAAAGATGAGAAATTAGGGAGGAAGGGGTGAATATGGCCTAAATCCAACTGTCAGTTTCCACTAGAGTAGGCTCACTGAGTCAATGGAATTTATGTAAACATCGGTTTATCAAATACCAGTTAATTTAATTGGTCTATTCTGGTTAGGAATATCAACTGAATTTAAGGCTATGTTAGTACATTTAGTTGATGACCAACAGATTAAAATCCAATAGAGGAACGATTTTACTAGTGATGTTTAAAGTTATGAAGAAAACATCTCAAAATTTTGCTCTTAAAAGTTTTTTGTGAAGAATAGAAAAATTTATTGTGCCCCAAAATCTGTGAGCAGCCATAAGAAGTTATTTCATATGTAAGCACAGGTGTACTCATTGATCTAGCACCACAATATCCCTTTCAGCAGCCAAAATTAACTGTATATATTGCTTTTATTTATATTGATATTATACACATACGCCTGGATGCTACCCTTGAAATCTTGCATTAAAGGGGAAATTGTTTCCAAACCATTCTGAGCAATGTATTCTAGTCTTTGAGGTGAAATATTCCAAGCATTTATGCTATAAAGGTGAGCTCAATAACAAGCCAGTCTAATTTGCTTGTTGCCTCTAACACATTTTATCCACTTTTCACAAAAGCTTGCACAACTATCTGAAGCTGTCAACAACAAACTCATTCACTAAAAAACTACTCTATGATGATTGAACACATGAGGGGAAAAGCTTGCAATATGTGACATACAAAAGAAGGAAGAGATTCCCCATATTTTAAATAGCATGTTATTATGTCAGTAATTATGTAACCAATGCGATGATCTTTTTAAAATGGTTTTAAGCAAAAGGTATAATTGGGCATAAAGGCATCACATCACATCCTCTGGAAATACATCATTATTAGGTCTGAGCAACATTGTTACTCTAATCTTGGGGAGGGGGGAGAGGCACTGAGAAAAGGAAAAATTAACCGCATTTCAACATGTTACATGTTCTTTGTTTCATGAGTTGCTATTTTGGCTATATCTTTAGAAAGCCCCTCTGGTGAATCGCAGTATGTAACACCGTGTCTCCCCACACTCTCAAACAAAAGACATTCCTCTGACAACGGCTAGGGGTGTTTTTGTTAAACGGGTCTTAAACCACACAGCACCCACAGGTCAGTCTCCTTTCATCATGCGATAGGTGTGACACCCGGTGCATTAAACATATATATTAAAAAATAAAAAAACAAGCCCACCAGATAAAGCATGCAAAATGTCTCCTCCGATCCCCCCCCCCCC